TTTTTCTTCTAAACCATGACAATACCTCCTGCCAACTGACAACTTCTGGAGGTAAATAATATCTTGTCCTCATTATAATTTTGCTCATATTACAAGTGTCTACTTAGTATTTTATAAGTTAATTTCATAGAACTACTGGTAATATAATAGTAATTGGATTATGTGGCAGAATCAGTGTGGGCTTTAGAGAGAAAGTTCTAGATGCATGATTTGCCCCCCCCCCCGCCCAATGCAGCAGTAATCTAATGGTAAGCCACTGAACTTCTCTAAAAGCTGATTGAGATTAATAGATTTATTTCCAGAGTTGTTGGGAAGACTAAGTGCTTACTTCACTGCCTGCAACTGCAACTTAGGACATAGTAAGTAAATGTTCTTTCTTTTGCTGTTCTCTTGAATACAATTATGAGATAAAGCACTTTCATAAAAACTTTATTTGGATTTGGTATCTTGTCTAAGAAACTGAAACTAAAATTAAGTGGCTGAGTCAAGGTCACATAAGCAGAAAAGAGCCAGTAACTGCATCTGTCCTCTGGTTTCAGTCCCAATACCCCCTGTTGCATTTTAGGAGAATGAATTATATTCTACTTGACCTTAGCTAAAAGGCTGAGAAGCAATGGAAAAATGAGCTTTAATGGTCCATTAGACATGAACATTAGAGACATGTGCAGGTGGAGTATGGTGACAAAGTGGGCAGGGAGAGATGTTGAGATCAAAAGATCTGAAGAGGACAAACTAGTAAGTGGTATGAATGAAAAGTGAGTAACACTATAATAATAATACAATAAAATTTTATTAAGTAAGCTTATTGATAGAATAGGGGGATCTTAGATCTAAATAACCTAGCCAGAAAGCTTTTTAAGAAAAGTGGCTTTTCCTAGGCCTGAAAATAAAAAACGCTTCTTTCCAGAATCATTCATTAATCTTAGTACTATGATTCTGCTGTTTCTTGCCTAGTATATTAGATAGACCATTTGAAGGATCGTTTTTGTGTGCGGGATGCTTGAGTCAAATGCCTGACACAGATACCCCTATTTATTTATTGGATACAGTCTTGCTACACAGCTTGGACTTGTAATCTTCCTGACTCAGCCTCCGCAGTCCTGGGATTACAAGTATGCACCATTATGTTCAGTTTCGGGATTGGCATCCATGTGATACTGTGGACTGAACCTGGGTCCTTGCTAGGCAGGTGCTTAGACTGTTGAGCTATCTTCCCAGCCCAGATACCACTCTGTGTTTTGTCCTAATTTATTTCTAAAATGTTCAAGTTTACTCTTCCTGAAATGGTAGGGATCATATGACTAAAAATGGCTTCCTCTTAAGTTAAGTTATAGTCACGGTGACTATACGTAACAGGGGTTTCTTGATTTTTTTCCCCCTTTTATTCTAGAATATTAACTCCAGATTTTCACTCTGGTCAGGGATTTTTATAGTTTCTTCTCCATCACAATTTACAACTACAGCCAACCAATAGTCCTTTAAGTCAGCAAATCCAAGGTGGTATTCCTTACAGTTATGAAGTGTCCATGAAGTCTCACTTAGGTGGCAGTCTTTTAAGTTCATTCCTCTGGACTGTGAGTTTAAGTCAAATATATTTACAATGACTTCATCACATTCTCCTCTTATTTTCTTGCGAGTATATCTAAGGACACCATTAGTCTCTGTACCTGTGTTGTGCTTCCTGGAAATGTGTTAAGTCAATAGTGAACCTCTATTTTGTTAGTTTACTCACTGTTCTTCGATCATATTCTACATTTTACTACCTACATACTTTTTTCTCATGCTACTGTCTACATTTCTCTTCCTTGAAATTCAATGTACTCTTCAAAATCAGCTCAAATCTCTCTTGGCTATTAACCTCTCAACCACAAAAACAATAAATCAATAATGATTTTTCATAAGTCTTGAAGCATTTGGGTTGGATATTTTTATATAATCAGAATGTTCATAAAAGGTTACCTCTACTTATATCTTTTCTTTATATTTTAACTTCTTTGAGGCATAGACTATCACAGATTTTTTTCCTGAATATCTAATACAAATGTCATGAAATTTGTCCATTTTTCTATATTTATATATTGATTTCAGCTAGAGTTCAGTATAAAACAGATTGTTGTTAGTCTCATGCGAATCTGAATAATCTGATTTATGATGAAATGTAAATGAACAAATTGGCAACTTCATTACCCAATGCATAAATAAATAGAATATAATTAACACAATGTTAGGAATGAAAGAAAAGACTAGTTACTTCACTATTTTATGAAAGGACAAACAGCTACTGGTTAAGATAACAGAAGTTAGTAACCTAAATGTTTTCTTGCCTTTGGTGTGTGTTTCTAAAAAATATTTCATGATCTTCTATGCAGTGTTTAAGATTCTTACAGTGTGGTTTATCAACATTCTTCATTTCCTAAAATGGTTACAAAAGTTATGGTTTTACTGTGTTAGTAAATTTCTTTCTGAAAAAAATCTTAGGTGGATTTTTAGATTATAAACTGTTTACTTTTTCTAAAAAAAAACCAAGACCTTCACACATATCAGACTTTATCACTGTATAAAAATGTACAGTGGTTTTATTGACATGTACATTCCAATGTTACAGCTGCAAGATAATGAGGCACACTCAGTATTGCACTTCATTAAAATTTCAGGCTCAAACGTAACCTAGAAGTTTAAATGAAACTGTACTTGTAATTTAGTAATTCTTATACAGGACAAACATTGATATCTTTATATACAGTGTGATACTTATTACATTTATATGCTGTCCTAACACAATTTTTTTTTTTTTAAATAACAGTCTAGGAAATAAACCAGAATATTCCTCTGTATATCCCCACCTGTGATGCAATTGTACAGGATTACAAAAAAGGCAGTATACAATAAACAATGATTATTTTTCTTTTTTGCTTGAAAGCCAGCATCATTCTCAGTCCAGGGGCATGATGACTCTTTTATGTCAATTATCTATAAATGCTCAATGCTTCACAGGCCAATGACGGTAATGGCCACATGCAAACACCTCACAAGTTTGATGTCTTGGTTCAAAAGAAGATAAACCAAAGTAATAGGGAAAACTTCCACAGCAAGAATTATGTACATGGTATTTGGCATTCTTCTTGCACTGTGAATGGTTCATTTTCATGGATGTAAAAATGGTCCCATCCTTATCCTGAGCAGAGTTTAAACTTCACCACATCCTCTTGGTGGATGAAGGCAACTTTTTTCTCTGTAGACAAAGGACTGTGGTGTTCTAAAAAGTGTGAGCATTCCTGCATACTCCACACCCCAGGGCAAACTCTTCCCCAGTGGGTGGATGAACAACATGGAGAGGACATTCAGTTCCTTCTAACTGCTTGCTTTTGGGACCTGTATAAATTTTGAAGGAAGCAAAAAAATACAATATTTAAAAATACACACATACAAACCTCACATAAATAGAAATCACTGATAAGTAATGCAAAGAAATAGCATGACTTTGGTTATGCAAATATAAAATTAAAAGATGTATTTTCTGCTACTCATAGAAATAGGAATATTCACAAAAACTTCAGCACAACACAATTATATATAACACAGAGTGATATATATATATATATATACTATCGGTGGTCCCTTACCTACAGTATCTTGCTTAAAGAGAACCACCATGACCTACAGATTTTCAACTAATAGATGAATTAGATATATTATTTTAAAGCACAAGCAATGAGCAAAAATGGTCACAACAATCAATTTAATTTAGCAGAATATTATTTGGCTAGATGAGAATACAAAGGAGATTTTTATATATCTTTCTACAAATAACAAATTTAAGTATAAATAAACTGTATCATCCTTCTATTCCACTGAGGAGAGATATAAAAAATCAGAACACTTATTATTAGTGTTATTTAAAAACTATCAGAAGGGAGATTAATAGAAAAGTGAAAGTCATCTTAAAATATGCACATTAAAATAAAATGTAATTTAGAAGAAACCCTGGGGAAAATACAAATCTGTACATAATACATAAGTTATGCTTATACGGTATAAAACAGCTCTAATTTTTTATTTCTAAAAGAAATTTGTTATCTAATATACTTCATGTCATTTAAAAATGATGTCTAACTTCTTTGTAAAGGGTGGGGCTTTGAGCAGTCAGGAATATAGGCTATACCTATACACATCCTCCTTATTGCACTGTGGGAGGAGAGACAGGAACAATGTATTATTTCTCTTCAACTAATTTTCAAATTAGTGTAAATTCTAATTTTACTTAAGAAAAACAAAAAGAAAAAAAGGTGAACTGGGACAAGGTTTTCCAGATCAAGGTAATAAAATCTCATTCAGTCTATCTTTTGGGTTATGAAGTCCTGAGGGGTAAAAGGCCAGTGTCTCTAACACTTTTAGTCTGTGCAGTATAAATAGCCAGTTAATGTTAGCTGTCATTACTACTACTGAACAACAACAAACCAAGCCCTGATCTAGAGGAATATAATGTAAAATCATGGAGGAGTAAAATCAAGGCATGGGGGGTAGTGGTATCAAAGTAAAGACACCTTGGGCTGGGGAGATAGCTCAGTGGCATGGTGACCCCCTGGTAAGTGCACGGTCCTGAGTTCAATTTCTGGCACAAAAACAAAACAACAAAAAACAAGTAAAGATAGCTCATCTCAGAAAGAGAAACCAGTTGTAGGCTTGAGCTAAGAGACTAAAGGCAGCAATTGTGCTGCTTCAAACAAATGCAGGCACAGACCCAGGTTGTGTCAACTATGATAGTGAGACGCTGAGAAGTGACTAGGTAATGAGGGTAAAGTCAGTGAGTAGAATTGGTGCCCTTCCAAATTGGACCATATAGACCCCTTTGACTCTTTAACATGAAACTGCTGTCTATGAACCACAGAGTGGGCCCTCACTAGACACTAACCTGCCAGCACTTTGATATTAGACTTCCTAAGCTCCAGAATTGTGAGAAACACATTTCTGTTAATAAACTGCCCAGCTGATGGCATTTTGTTATAGGAGCCCAAATGAACTAACAAAGATTATCTGTTTCAGAGTCTTAATCTTGACTCTTGCCTTCATTCATATATGTGTATTACAGATCAGAATTACTGAGCTAGAGGGTAGGTTTTCCTTTAATTCTGTTTTAGTTCTCTAAGTGAACAAAGATGTGTGAGGAGAGGGGAGCAGAGAGAACATCTCAATTGAAGTATATTACCTTAGGCTAATTAACTTCCCTGGTCCTCAATTTTCCATCTGTGAACATGGAGATAATACTACCTACCTTGTAGGTTGTAAAAATGAAATAAGAAAATGCATGTGAAAAGGCCTAGGACGAATGTTAGCTCCTTCCGTCCGCTGACTGACTACCCCTTTTTCTGCCTCTTTCTTATAAGTCACACTGTTTGAAGGACAGAAGTCCTTTCAGTTCACTCATTTGATCATGTGAATGCATTTGGGGAAGCCTTGCCTTTAGCTGACCCCTCCTCTCTCAGTCACTGTGGGCCACTATATACTCCGGAATACATATTTTGTTGCTTACTCATTACTTCCAGAATTTTTGTTTTAACAACAACAACAACAACAAAAAAAAAAAAACCAAAAAAACCCCTTTCGTTAAGTAAACTGGATTTTTCTTAATGATATTCCTTGCAGTAGAGCTCTTTCAACTGGAAACAGGTTGTCACCAGTGCTCTCTAATGTCACTAGGCACGATGAACTTTCTCCCATTTTCATTTCCAGACCATGACTTGCACCCGGCCCCTGACAGTCCTCTTTCCCTTGCGGCTCACATCTGGAATACTGTCTGCTTGTCCCTCCCTTCCTTTGCTGTCCTCAAGTCACCTGCTCCGCTTCTAATCACAGCTCCCACCTCTGCTCTGGTCATGACCCAATTGCCCTGGCCTTACATCACTGTGAACTGGCTGCTTCAAAGTCTGTTACTTCTACTGAAAATAATTTTGAAGGGGGTTAAAATAGTATTTTTATTTAACACAGGTGGCAGAAAGTAGACTTAAAAAATCTTATTATCAAATATGTAACATATTTTACATGGTTTAAATACAAAAGTGTTAAAAATTTGTAATCAGAATTGACATCTCCATCCGCATCTACCACCATCTTGCCTGTTTTGTTCAATAATTTATTTCTTGAATATTTTTCCAGTGTTTTTATGCACATATGAACGTAAGTATATGTTCTCATTTTTCCCTTCTTATAAAAGACAGCGTACTATATACACTGATCTGTAACTTGCTTTTTTTACTTATAGTTTCTCACAGAAATCTTTTATTCTAAATTAGTATGAGAAACTGCATTCTTATTCTTTAGTGTTAACCACTCACTTATTAGATACTGGCATTGCTTATAAATTTATATTGCTATAAGCAATGTTACAATGAAATAGCCCATATCTGCCCTGTAACACTCCCGAGGGGCACTATCATACTGCTTTCTCTTGCAGGCCTGCCGTGAGCTCTCTGATGAGGCATGGAGGCGAGGGAGTGCTTCCCCGCTTGAACACCACCACCTACAGCGTGGTGTGTACTATTTTCAGTAACTGCAGATACACTGCGTGGCTGCATTGGCCACTCCTTCCTCTGGTAAGCCTGATAACATTATCATCATCATCATCACTATCATTTTGCTGTTGTTGTCGTCATTTTATTGACACAGGGTCTCACCACATAGTTCAGGCTGGCCTGGAATCTCAGCAAGCCTTCTGTCTCAGCCTCCTGAGTGTGGGACTGTGCCATTGTGCCCAGCTGCCTTATGGTGATCCGAAGCCTCCTGACCTTTCCCAGGGTTTTCACATTTTTTTCAGCCATGTGTTCCCTTTCTGCTCCCTCAGCCTGACTTCAGCACTTCTCCTTTATGCCAGCTGGGTTTTTTCATTCCCTTGCTGTTCTGGTCTCACTGTGTTGCCAATTCCCAGACCCTTGCGATCAGACCACATACTTATTCTATAGGTCCAGGCTTCTTTAGAAGAAAAATAAATCACAAAATCCTTTTATGTTTCTATCATTAGAGTATCACATTCACATGGCTTTCGTGTGCTGAACAAGCCTTTTAATAATCCTTAGTATACTTCATTCTTCCTCCCCAAAAGATCTGCTTTGTGTTTACTCCTCACCCTTCATCATGGTGATCATTTAAATCTTCTAGTTGGTCGAAATGTCGTAAACTTACACAGGTTGAGGTTATTTATGTTCTCTGTTATTGTAGGCTCATTTGAATTGGGTTTCCAACATTTGAACCAGAGTTCCCAAATAATCTTTAAAGAAAATTAGCAATTATATTCGTGATTTTAAAAGCATACCTGCAGGACAGTGTGGTAGTTCTTCCTTAGGAATACTAGTCATTCTTTGAAAATCATCGTGACAGGCATTACAGAAATGTGTTGTTCCAAAACAGAAAAAGACAGCCACTGAACAGCAGTAGCGACATTTATATTCCAAAAAATCTGTGCCATGTTTGGGACACATCTATAGCAAAGGAAGAGACAGGTACAAGATTAAAGTAAGATTATTCCAACTATACTTAAGATAGTCATATACACAGTTCATTAATTCATATTTTCAGAACACATACAGCCCTGAAAACTGATTAAAAAGACTTACAAAATACATGTTAAAAATCAATGGATAAATGTGTCATTTTGCCCAAAAGGTTTGGACAAAGCCTCCAATTCTAATTCCATGTCCAGCAAATCTATCTGGTTTAGAAAGCATACTACTAAATTTCCTTGTGAATAATTAGTCTGGTACACTAAAAAATTGATAATGTCTTATCTACTTTCTAATCTCAGATGTACTGTGAAGACTTTACTGAAGCTGGGAAAATCTATAAGTTTGACTGTTGCTTTAAGAAAATGAAATAGGTAAGTTCATTCTTTATTTAAAATAGGTGATCATTACATGGAAAACAAATTATAAAATAAAATACAGCCCAAAAGAAATAAAAACTAGGAAATAATATGGAAAATTATACAGTGATATATAAATATCAGAAAGCACTAGGAAAACCCCAACTTATTGAGTATACCACTGTTTAAATAAATTGAATTTTAACCTTTCCAAACTGTTATTCCTAACAACATGCTCTACTTACTTGTGCCCTGGACACATCAGAACAGGCACCACAGATAAGCTCCCTGGGATCATAATCATCCCCTTGCCCAGCCTCAGCGTCACAGCGAGCCTCACCACCAAAATATGCCTAAGGAGAGACCATATTTAGGTAAGGGTAAGAAAAAGAAGACCCTGGCAGGGGATACAGTCATGAAAATCAGACCAAGAGGCCTGAGACGTAGTACAGTCTGTTAGCCACTCTTATGCAAGGCCAGTAACCTCCATACCCATATTTCTGATTGTAGAGTGGATCAAGGTGAGAAATAAAGCTGTCTCAATTCTGGAATGGACTTATGCCTTCGGTAGGGAGTTTAAATACTATATGAGCCAAGAAAAATGATTTGAGGAGGCATAATATTTCAACACCAAGAAAAAGATATTAAGTAGTAAATAGAAATTGCTTTTCCAGGCAAAGTCATCTTCTCTTGCTTAAAAAATATGTCTGTTAATCCCTAACCTATAATAAGAACAAAACTATATTGCACATGAAGTATTACAAGAGAACTGTAAGACCAATTCTAATGGGAAAGAAATAACAATTTTAAGTAACTTGTGATCATACAAACATTTTTTTAAGGAAAGCTAAATTTTGTAATTCTACTCAGAATACTACTCACACTTATAAAGCTATACTGCACGCAGAAATTTAATAGTATCCAACATATTCACTCAAATACATGAAACCACAATGGATGATTTACTTTTATTTTCTCTGAGCACGAAATAAATGAGGCCAAGAAATTGGGACAATTTGCATGCACACCATGTCCCATAGTCAAAAAGCTAAGTCAAAACTGGGAATAAACAAGCTGAGTCAATATAAGTCTATTATCTGTACTAGAAAAGCAGGTCAAAAGGCTTCACTGATGCAGAGGTTATAAATGGTCATCCACCAGCTAAATATGGTCTTAGAAATATTTCAATTTATCTTAAGGCCAACTGCTTACTCTAGCTGTTTTACTTCTCTCTACTGTCTGTATAGCTTCCTAAACATCCGACTGCTACACATGTGGTAGCATAATATTAATTTTTAATATTTAGCACATTAAATACATAGAATATTTTATTATTTGCCACTACACAAATTTCACAAATGTACTGTTGGTCTTTTCTTATGTATATAAATATATGTGTACCTTTTTGAGTATTTAGTTTTCCATTCATGTTTATATTTTTTTGTATTACAAGACTATGCATCCTTTAGTTATTCATTCATGTTCTAATTAACTTGGTACTTAGTAAGAGCCAAGTACTGGAGAAGGAGAGGTGAAAACATAGTTCTTGTCTTCATGGAACATAATCAAGTGGAGCAGAGAGGTGTGTGAACTATTATCATTAGTGCAGCTTGAGTGCCAGGAAGAACGTATGCAAGCTAATCAAACTATGTGGTGGTGGTCCTGGGGGAGATATGGTCATATTACAGAAGGAGGTGAGACCTGAACTGAATCCTACAGTGGAATGAGATAGCTTTGGCCAGTTGTCTGAGCATGTGTACATAGCACTGGAGGGGTGGTGGTGGGAAGTGAGAGGAAAATGTGCAGTAGGTAGTGGAGAAGGGCATATTGTGATAAGAAACAGTATGGAAGTGTCAGTAAGTGAGCAAACAGCTGAGTCTGGGGGAGACTCGTTCAGTAGCCATAGCATGCAGTCTGGGGGGAGACACATTCAGTAGTCATAGCATGCAGTCGAAATGGTAGTATGTTGGGAAATGAGACCAGAGAGGTGGACAGAGCTACAAGATTATATGCAGCAGAACGATGCACCTAAGTCTGAGATCTATAAATACTAACCGACCAGTACTAGTGTATGAGTAACGGATGAAGTGGATGCAAGGGTTTAGGAGAACACATAAGACTCAATAAAAAGGCTATAATAATTAATAAAGAAAGTAATTAGGGGTGTTAAAAGAAACACAGAGATTTGGAGACAGAATTGACAGGACTTTGCACACGCAGTTTAAAAGACTGAGGGGAGTAAAGGCTGATGAAAGTAATAATAGATGTAAGAGTTTTGAAGTATCTGTGAGGAAATTAAAATGTGTGATAGAGGGTTGGGTATTTGTACCTAAATCTCAAAAAATTTGAAGGCTGTAATGGCATATATCCCTTGTCAGCAAAATGATAGATGTCCTTGAAGTCACCAAATCTAAGGGGGGCGTTTTTATGCAGAGTTTTAGGCAAAGAAGTGTATGTTGGGTAGGTAAATGAAAAGGAACTGATAATAAATGACCATAAAGACAGGAGGGCTAAAAATAGTGGTCTACAGGCAGGAAGCAAGAATTTTAAGAAGGGATGGTTAAGAGAGGGAACTTGCCTTGGGAAAACACATTTCACTGACAGAAAGTAATGTTTTTAGTACTACATGTTTTGGAAAAAATTTAGGTTAAAAAAAAGTCCCAAAACAAATTAAATACATAAATTCAGTTTGGAACATTATATCAAGCTTTCTTTTTTTAAACGTCAAAAGTTAAAAGGTAAGAATTAGAAATTATTACGCAATTAAACTTCTTATTCATAGAGGCAATCTCTTATCTTTTAAGTTTCTTAGTATAATTAGTAGCATACCTTTCTGCACTTGTAGCAGACATAATATGCGTATCTATTCATGGCATAGCCTGCTGGATCATTATAAAACCTCACACCAGGAGTTATGATAGCTTCACTCTTATGTAGACCTTCATATTCCAATCTCATTAAGGCTTTCCTTCTGACATCTTCATAGAGTTCTTTTATGGGATCAAGCAGGTCTTTTAGTACTATATGATTAATTTTGTTCTGAAATTAAAAACATGCACATTCTTTAACATAATAATTTATTAATTAATTCAATAAACATTTACTGTGCACCCAAATGCCATGCACTGTACAAGGACATAACCAGTCAGTAACATTCCCTAATAAATATTACTAAATATCATTTAAAACTATCCCGTAAAGTCCTTACAAACCCATTTTTTTTCCCAAGAGTAGGGAAAATAAGGGTAAAAGTGGCTCAGAGCAAAAAATAACATTTTTTAAATTCATATCTCCTACATCTAAAATATGTATCTCCTGCTGCCTTAGCTCTCCTAGAAATAAAGTTTACTTTGCTGTCACAAATATGACATGCTCCTTCTGTGTGAGGCATGTGTATATGTATGCTTTGGTTCCTTAGAAATAGGATAGAATGTCAGATGATAGAATTGAGCAGATATTATTTTCTATATCACCTTCATGTACCTATTTCCAGGGTTCCTAAGGGTGACTTTTCTCTGGGTCACGTGAGAAAGGTAAATAAACAAAATACTGTAATTTTTTGACCATTCCTCAGTCTAACTAAGCAATGATTGGCCAGCTCTTTATATTAAACCCTTTGTACAAGTCTGCAAATAATGAAGACAGGTTAAAAAGGGAAAACTGAACAGAATAAAAAGGAATAGAGAATTAATAGGGAAGGCATGTCACATTCTTTAACAAAAGTATTTTATTAATCATTACTAGCTTACCAAAACAATTTCCTTCTTTGCTTACTACTTCTGTAACTGTCTCCAAATGCCAAGAATTTCTCCTTATTTTAACTAGCTCTAAAATGATTTGACACTAAAGGTCAAGACTTCACTCTTTAATGGTTGATGTCAGTAAATAAAAGCACCAGAGTATTCCTTTATTATTTTGGTTGCCATCCATGGTCACATCCTGTGATAAAACTCACAGGGTCTGAAAGTTGTAAGGGCATGCATCATTAATACAAAACGATGTTTTGTTTATATAAATTTCCTCATGCAATGTATTCAATTTAATTTAACTGGCTTTTAATTTATAGTAACTTTTGAACAGCATTATAATACCTAGAGAGATCTTGCAATATTCTCAGGTGCCACCTGGATGAAGAGGATAGAAGCTAGAACTGGCAGTAAAAAGCAGGCAGGGAAAGATATTAAGAGTTTCTGGTGACCGCTTATTTTGAAAGATGAAAATACACTCAAAAATAGAAAGTAGATTACTTGTGATTCTTTCCATACCTTGCATATAGGACAAGATATAAATCCAAATGTTATCCTTGGGCCCAGCCATCTGTTTTCTAAAACTCGTCGACAGCATTGTAGGTGGAATACATGACTACAGTCCAGCTTAAATATGGAGAGAAGAAGCAAATGTAATAATGATAAACAAGGAGGCTCATCAACATAAAATGTTACTTAAGGCAGGTAAGAGAAAAATCAAGAAATTTAGCATAATGAAATGTCACCACTTCCTTAGGACAGTTTTCATGAAACATTACTAACCAGTCCTGCAGCTTATCCTACTCTTGGTCATTCATTTATTAATGCCATCTACATAAAATCTATCTATGTAAAGTGAGTTGGGTTAGGGATATAAAATACAAAATTACTAACTTTTATGTCTCAGAAAGAATAGGAAACTACTGATTTAAAGCTTTGAAATTTTTTAATGTGAATATTCATTATCTTAGAATCAATCATAACTGAAAATACATATAATCAACTGGAAAACATTTAAAAACATAGTAATAACTTTTATTATGCATGGAGGCATGTTTTACCATGCTTTAATCACTTACATATTATATAAATATGCTCGACAATAGAAATTAAGAATCCTAGCTATTTAATAATCTAATCATTTCCACCCTCCTTAACATTTTATATATGCTACTCACTGTATTATACATACTCACACAGATCATAAATGATGAGAACATAAAAGGGGAAGCAGAACATAAAGGACAGAATTCCTTCCCTAGTAGAAGCTCAATCAAAAAATATGACAAACACTTAAAAAATTTATTACAGTAGAAGACACATTGCCAGAATAAGTCCACTCACTTCAAAAACACTTAATGCCATTGTTCTTGCTACTCTCAGAAGCAATTCTGGAAGTCCATTCTTTTGCCTTTAGTTGTACTGCAATGGCTGCCTCAATGTTTTGAATGAATTTAAAATCTTTGCTTTTTTATGGTCATACTGACTTTAGAGTAGAGCAAGAAGTTGCCTGGTGCCAGATGTGGTGAATAAGGTGGATGACAATGTATAGTAATGTTTTATGAGCCTGCCTTTCCAGTGGATGGCAGCTGGCAGCAGTATTTAACTGAATTTTTGATCACACCTTGTAAAGACACTCAAAAAAGAGGACTTCCGGAACTACTCCAGACAGTGTCAATTAATTTTGCTTAAGTGTCTTAAAGTAGAGTATTTTGTGGAAGTGTAATGGCAATGTGTTTTATTGTAATAATTTTTTTTTTTTTTTTTTTTTGTATTTTAGGAAAGGGTCTATAGGGTGTTCAGGGTCTCACTACTAGATTGGACTCCTAGTGATCTGCCTGTTTACATCTTCTTAAAAGCTGGGATTACAGGTGCATGCTACCACGCCCAGTCTCAATTGCCCCTCAGTGTACCCCGGGGGCAGGGCCAGCCCGGCAGGCCTGGGGATCAAATCCCCTGCCCCTGTGCCTGCTTGTAGGTGCTTTAATACACTGAACTGTTTGGCTGGTGGCCCTGTAATAAATTATTAAGTGTTAAATAAACACTGTATTGTCTGATCACCCACTGAACTGTATGTCAATATATATAAGGAGACTTTAAAATGAGATTCTAAGCATTTTTTTTATTTGACAAACGTATTTCCCCACGACATATTTAAAAGGTGAGGCAACCTGAATGGCTGGTGCTGCAGAGAGTGCTTCCGTGAAGCATATCATGCACATATCATCAGCGTCCTGCTTCAGCGTCGTCGCGTTCTTATCACAGCCGTGTAGACAGGGCAAACAATGTTCTTCATTTTTAACACCTCCACATGGATGGCCACAAGGATGTGTCTTACTACAAGCTATCTTAGCATATTCCTATTAAATGAATTAAATGATATACAATGATCAAAAAGGGCACATTTTTAAAATTTTAAGATCCAAGTGGGACTCTCTACCACCTTTTATTTATTATTATTTTTTATTCATTTTAATGAGAAAAAAATAGCAATGAAACAGTTTCAAAACAGGTTAGCAGGACGGTTACAATAATTAATGCATTGCATATTGTTGTCTTCATAGTAGAGGACAAGATGCAGAAATGGTATCAGGCACATATTTTTATAATTATACTTGTATTATTTTTCTAGGACTACTTTCCCATGGGAACCATCTATTCAACAAAGTAATAACAATTATCTTTATTTATTGTTTGAATCTATATTAGGATTATTAGGAGTCTGTTTTTCTTTTTTAAGATTTTTAAAAATTTCATTCCACATAAAGGAAATGATGAAAATAATTATAATTTTGTCTTCATGCATAATCACAAAGCAAAAAGCTTCTGATGAGCAATATCCCAACTATAAGTCCGCTCACCAAAACAGAGGTTAAAAAAACCCTAAGAAAATACCATGTGTCTCTGACTAGCTGAGCATTATCCAGAGTCTTATTACATGAACTGAGGAACCAAAAATATTTGGAGTGCATGTATATACATATTCAGGATTCAAGGACTCTAAGATATTAGGAATTTATCTTAGGGAAGTAAATAAAGGTGAAGAAGTTTCAGTCCACAGACATTTTGATTGCTTCAAGCACAAATTAAATTATATATATATTCATTCATAGTAATTGAGAAAAACACAGTGTGGCTTGGGTTTAAGAGTCATATTTGATCCTTTCTCCAGCTTTGACAAAGCTTTTAATACTTGACAAAGGACATTTGGACTGAGTATTATTTATACGAAGCACAGGAGTCACATGGGAACATACGCATTTCCTCCCTGGGATGGCCTGACTCTAATTACATACACACCTGACAATCTGCATCAGAACAAACACTGCCAACAGCAGATAACTCTGTTCCACTCCTGGACCCACAGAAGCGGCATGCTTCTGAGCTACTTGTGGTGGGTTTACCTAGGTTCAAGCAGAAAAAGAAAAATTCTCAGACATGTTTTTATACATTGTAATATAACTACCTGTAGTATTAAAAAAGCAAACCATATTAATTGTCAGCAACAGAAAATTAGCCAAGGGTTATAAGTTGCCCTAATATAAAACAAATAATTATAAAAAAGGATAAGAATCTAAAGAAGTCATATAAACTCTTGACTAATTTATACTTTTTAAAGAAGCCCTAGATTTCCCAATCAAGCTAACGGACTGAGAAGATATAATACTAAAAATTAAAATCAGCTAAACTAAAAGGAGATTTAAGTATTTTTATATATTATCAAAATTGTAAGGCATAACATAAAACTCATCAAACACTGAAACTTGAAAAACAAAAGAATCTTCCTTAACTCATATATATATACACACATATATATTTATTTTATGAGTTTGGCTGCTACAGGGTCTCATTACACAGCTTGGGCTGTTTTCAGCCTCTCTAGCGCGGGCATCACAGGCATATGCCACTTTGCCCCCCTGGAGCTGGCTCAGCTGCCCTGGGGGCAGAGCTGGTGCTGTGGTGCCTGGATCAAACCATGGTCCCTGCACTTGCCCAAGCAGGCACTTTGGTCTGCTAAGCTATCTCGCTGGCCCCTTAACTCTTGTATTTGAAAAGGAATTTAAATGTTTAAAATATTGAAGAATAGAAACTATAAAAGAAAAATAAAACAATAGGAAAAAGGTAGAAAAATACCTGAAAATGACTAAGTTCATTTTTAAACATAGGTACACAAATCTTAAATATTAATATAAAGAATTACAGTAATTACAGAAAAGATTTCTTAAAAAGACAGTTCATATGATGAATACAAGGAAGTATAATATTAAAACATTTACTGCTTCCACATATAGTAATGACAGTTTATAGGAGAAAACAAAAACAAAAACAAAAACAAAACAGCTGAGAAAAGATGGCCATTCTTTTATAATGTGAAAAGCCAGTCACGTAAGAGTTATTCAGGCTTTTCTAGGTTTTTTAAAAAAGTTTTTTATTTTAAAGAAAAGAAAAATAAAGAATAAAAACAATGGAATAACATTCCAAAACAACATTGTAGCAGACTAACAATGTAGCACATTTCATATTGTTATCTTCAAAGTAACTGTTCATATCACAAGATATAGGCATGAAAACCGATCAAACAATTTTTCAGGTTTCTATCAATCTCCAACATCAGAGATTTGAGTCAGTAAGATACATGGAAGACTGCTGCCAAGCGAAACATTGAGAATTATGTGATTCAATATAATATGAAGTTAGAAATAAGTTATTTTTTTTGTTCTAAGTAACACCTATTCAACTTTGCTAATTATTTTACTATCAATCAATGGTAGTATTGCCAATCAGAAAATCTTGAGAAGTACTAGATCTATTAAAAACGTCAGAATATACCATAAAATCATACAACTTTACAGTTAAAGAATCTTAGTGATTAATGTAGAAATTTTATTGTGAAGCTGCAACCAATAAAATTAGAAGGCAATATCAACAGCAATGTTTAATACAGAGGGAGTGATGTTTATTTACACGAATTCTGTTCAAGGTGCAGCGGTCTCTTTTATAAAATGAGGGCAATGGGTTGCAGAGAGCTTAAGGCTTGCTGAGATCACACAGTGGCAAGTCAGGTTTCCTGAGCTTTCAGTTGGATGTGCTTTCCAACATAGAACACACCTGGATCTAACAAACGTACTACTGACAGAGGTTAACATTATGATTATATGTTAGAAAAATCATGCGAAAGTCTTCATATTAGATGCACTAATACCTAATTTTGTCAGAATTAGTAGGTATGTTCAATCTCTGTGTTTAAAACACATGACACAATCTTTAATCCTCTTTTACCTGTATGTTCTCGGAATTCCACCATTGCCTTCATTGTTTTAGAATCTGCTAGTGCCATCAACCAGAACAATTTGGTTCTACCACAACCTTCATGAAGATCAACCTTTATAGCTTCTTCTTCTTCTTTGAAGACCTATTGTTTCATTAAAGCAGAAGAAAATATATTCATTCATTACTGACAGAAGTATAAAATTCTAATTATCCATTACTAGTTGTTTTCATTTATTCGATTCTATAGGAAATTTCAGATACTTCCAATTTTTTTTTTTTAATCATTATACCACCCTCATTGTAATAAATGTGGGATGAAGTCTTGAAAGGTTAAACGACTTGGTCACTTCACAGTTGCTAAAGGATGTAGAAGGGAACTCAGCCAAAGCACTGATTCCCAACCCCCCTTTCTCCATTCTTTCCCACATTTCTTTCTTTTTTTTTTTTTTTTTGTCTTTTTGAGACAGGGTCTCACTATGTATTTTGGGCTGGCCTTGAGCTCACTTTGTAGCCCAGGTCCATCCCCAGCTCACAATAATCCTTCTGCTGCAGCCTCCCAAGTGTTAGGATTACAGACATGGGCCAACACTCCTGGCTCACATATTTATTTCAAAACTAGCTCAATTTCAGATTTCATGCTGCAGACATTGGCTTGGCCAAAAAGACTGCAATCTTTACCTGTCTTTGATGAGTTTTGGTTCGCCGATGAAGATGAAGGAATCTATCACAGTCAGTACACAGATTTCCACATATGTTGCATAAAATGATAGCTGCAGTTTCACCATCATCGTGGTTATCACACATTGGCTAAAAGGAGACATTTTCATATTATATCAAATTAAAGCTTCAGACACTCATACAAACAATATAATTTATTTACATTTGTGCTTTTTTTTTTTTTAAATGTATTTGGTACAGGGTCTCACCACATAGCTTGGACTCGTGATCCTCCTATTTTAGCTTCCCCAGTGCTGGGATTACAGGCGTGCGTGCCACCATGCCAGGTCTTGGTGGCCAGCTCAGCACACCTGAGGCGGGGAAGGCATGGCACGTGGTACTGGGGTCAACTCTGGGTCTTTGCACTTGCCTAAGCAGGTGCTTAGACCACTGAGCTATCTCCATGGCCCTACATTCTTGGTACTCATCATGAATCAGTTTAAAGAGATATGATGAGGACCAGAAATGACAGGTGCCAAACAAATTGTTTTGGGGAAAAAGGGTAGTGATTCCTGAGGCAGGTAACATCAAAGAGTTCTAGCTTGTGCACTTACTATCAAAGAAATGAAGAACAGTAGGTCAAAATTTTCATGACAGAATGTGTGCAACATCAAATTTGATGAGTTTTAAAGTAGCTGAGTACCAAGACATGATTGTACAACAGCAGACTTATTCTAAAATCTATTAAGATTTTAAGCTTTTTAAGGTTAGTGTTAAAAAGCATTATGACAAATATACTTAAGTACAAAAATCACTTTAAATTACTCAGAGATTAATGTACTATTCAGGAAAATCTCAGAATCCAAATTAATGTACTTTAAAGATTCAGTGATTAGTAAAATGAACATGTATGTATACTCTGCTTTTCATATTCAATCCATTACATATCTAAACATTCTGCATTATGATTCATTTTTTTCAAGCTTGAGCAATAAAAATGTTCAAAGTAGTCTACATATTTTCTCTTTCAGTGAACTTCCAGACATCCAGAAAACCTATTTTAAGTACATCTGTTACTAGGAAGTATTTTATACTGCCTCTCTACTGTATTTCTTCCTAACGTAAGACCAATCAGATTTTAATACTAATTCTATAAACAGAATCAGAGTGTAGCTACAAATACTTATTTTTCCTTTGTGGTGCTACCGATCAAATCCAGGAATTTGCACATTAATTATGGACTCTTATCACTGAGTTACACCCAAGCTCTATGAACACATTTTGGTGTAGTGCAAAACTGACAGAAGTTGTCAGATGTGGTGGTGATACCTCTAATCCCAGCTCTCAGGAGCCTGAGCCATGAGGATCACCTGAAGACTGAGGCCAGCCTGGGCCACATGGAGTTCAAGGCCAGTCTGAACATAGCAAAACCCTGTCTCAAAGAAAAAAAAAAACCAAACCAAACCACAAACTAAAAAGATACACACAAGAAAGGAGAAAGCTCTTTTATATAATTAAGTTCCCTAAAGTTTCTAATATAATATTACTCCAAGTAAAATAGACTTGTGAGATGAGATTATTTTTTTTGAGCCCAGGGCCCAAAAAATAATAGTCAAGTTCTCTGCAGCCAAGTTACTTCCCCCATGTTGCCCTTCAACCTGTGATTTTCTTGCCTCAGCCTCTGAAGTAGCTGGGAGTAAAGCATACACCATCAGGCCCAGGGTTTGTTTTTTTTTTTAACTTTTGTAGTGCGGGGGATCCAACCTAGTGCTGTATGTATACCAGGTAAGTGTTCTGCCACTAAGCCACAACCCTGGCTCAAGTTCTTATAATTCTGATCTTACCATTTGTTTTTGTTGTCCATCCTTTCCCATCCACCTGCCTGAGGAGAGACGATCTACATGGTCCTGATCAAGAACACACAGTGATGCTAAAGCAAGCCAGAGCTGTTGAGAGGAAAAACTGTTAGACCACTGAGATTTTAGGAGACAGGTAGAAAAGGCTGACTACATAACACATAATAACTGCTCAATAAATGGCTGGCTGAATCAGGAAATATAGACACTTGGTGGCAGCACTGCAGCTTTCGTGATGTGGCACATTTCTCATGATGTGGCCATATGGTCATATGTGCCACATACACAGTAGGCATTCATATATGTACTAAACAAATAACTGCTTCTCTAAAGAACCATCCTATTTTCTGACACATGAAATTATCTTTTGTCTACTATGTAAACCCATTCATGTATTAAAATAAATGAATTTGCACATTAATTTTATTGTACCAAAGCCCGCTGCATATTTTTCCATTCAGTATCATCTGCCTGCGGCATTAAATTCTAAAGAAGGTAGTAAATGGCCATTTACTTGTTCATAGTTCCATGAGTAGTTGGGTATATAATAAATTCTTCTAAATAGTAACAATTCCTTGGAAATTTCTGTTTCCTTGAAGGGCTTAGTACTATACTTGGTCAACTTTGTCAGACATAAATGACCAATAAAATTTAGAAAACTATCCTGAAAAGTAGTTTAAAACTTCTGAGGCTTAACGGGTGTCAGTTTTTATATAGGATGATATATTCCTTCATTAATGGAAAAACAAAAACATTTAAAAGGCTTAATTTTAACAAATGCATGTGAGCATCACTGGGTATGAAGAGCAAGAAATGGTAAAATAGGGACAGAAAAAACAACAACAAAAGGAAAATAATGCAAAGAGTAAACAAAAAAGTAGAATTAAAGACAAGAAGTTCTGAGTGGTTGAAAAGGATTACTATAAAAAACACTTGCTTCCAGTGTCATACTCACTATCAAGACAGTTTAAATTAGCTTTCTTGAATGTAGGAAAGCACAAGTTACCTTCTTTTTCAGACTTCTGAGAATTAACCTAAGCAATTTCCAACAGTGTCATTTCTTCCTAATGTTGTCACATTGTCTGACTCAACACAATCTTGCTTTTGGAATTATATGGGACATGAAATCATATAGGTTAAAACTCACAATAGACGTTCCATCTGAAGAATGCAATGCTCCTTTCTTAAAGATTTGACCCACTCTACCACTGACAAGTGCTTTTGCTCTTTGAAAGACCTTATATAGCTCTGTAGATGAGCTGTATAAGGTTTTGCATTGTAAACAACTGGGCCACATGAAGGGGAAAGTGGCCTTGTTCTCAAAGGATGTTCAGCTGATCACAACATAATGCTACTCTACTGGAGTAAGTTACAATACATAGGTCATTAGGAAGATAATAAATATATAATGTGATTTATCTAGCTTTATTAAACTAGTATATCCTTGGATTCCTAAGTAAGAAAAAAAAAAAGAACACTCCTAACAGTAAATGGTAATGACTACCATGTTTAGTTCATAATTCATTAAAAAAAAATCCCTTTTTATTTTTTGATAAGTACATTATTTGGTAAAAATTGTGGATTCACTTGGTTAAATTTGTTGCTGAAACTCAGCACTAAAAAAGGACATACAATGATACAGACAAAATAAAAACAAAAATCAAAAAACACCTACTCTAGTTGTCGCAATACATCTCACAGGGGACCTAAATTCTTCTTCCATCTTGGTCAAGGCAATGATGGTTTCTGCGATAGCGTTTTTTGTCACTCGGGACCAAGCTTCTGACAGATGACCCTAGTGAGCAAGACACAATATTTTAATAAGTAACCAGAAATATTATCATAATAAATTCTTTTCTTTTAAATAATGTCTCTCATCAAAAGAAAAGATAAGCTGACAACACCACATTAATTTTAGACAGAAGGACACAGACTTTTAAGCTCAAAATTCTTAGGCTGCAGAGATAGCTCAGTGGTCTAAGTGCCTGCCTAGGCAAGTAATAGGACTGGGTTTGATCCAGGGTACCACATGCAGTACAGCCCTGCCCCAGGAGAAGATGGGGCATGGTGGTGCACACTTGTAATCTCAGTGCTGGGAAAGCTGAAATGGGAGGATCACTACAAGTCCAAGCTGCATAGTGAGACTCTGTACCAAATACATTTAAAAAAAAAGATTCCTTACAGTCCTATGAAAAATTCAAATTCTTCTGGGTGTAGTGGTGCACACTTGTAATCATAGTACTTAGGAGGATGAGGTAGGAGGATTGTGTGCCTGAATTTGAGGCCAGCCTAGGCTACATAAATGAATTCCAAGTCTCATTTACATAATGAGGACCATTCTGTCTGTCTCTCTAAAAAAAAAAAAAAAAAATCAATTTCTAGTCACTATTTTTGATGATTTAAAGAAGATTAAAAACAATTTAAGATCCAATATTCTTTTTTTTAATAGAGATTAAGGGTATTTTCACCTATATTTGAATAAAAATGGAAGTACTACAGTATCTCTGCTTGAGAAATTTTGGCTATGGAATGTTATTTAACAGGAAATATATACAGCTAAGCCAGCTGACTATTATTAGAATCCAAGAGGACTCTAGTGTTTAAACAGGTGTGTTTAAATTAATTTATTTGCTATTTTGATTTTTATGAGCATCAACACTTAACTATTATATAATTTAGTATACTATAAAAATCCTAAGATTTTTCATCTAATGAACATCCTAAGAAAGTCTATTAGCCATAAATATGGAGAAAAATGCCCACAGTGTTGAGAAAAGTTATAGAATTTCATTTTTCCCCTGAGAATATCCTGTTTATTATTATTTTTTTTATATCCACATATTATAAATCCATTAAAGGGCAGTTTAAATCCTCCTCAAACATGTCTTAAGTTCACACTGCCACTTTGGGGATGTATGTTCTGTAGTACTTGTTCCCCAGGCTGCTTCCTGGAAATACAATAGTGTATGAGTGAATTGACTCAATGGAGAAATTCATAAAAACCAGTTGGTCTGAGAAGTAATTCTCTGTTCTCATCACTCTTAGATTTACCCCCTAACTCTGACATCTTACCGACAGTGCTGTAGGATATTAGTGAAGAAGAATGAAGGGCTTATGAACTATGATGATGGAAGAGAATAGAAGACTCCCACTTTTCAGAGCTTCTCTTTGTCTCTCCTTCTCCTCTTCCTCTTTTTGGGAGGGATAGAGGTTCTTTTTCAGGTCACAATCTACCTAAATTTTAAGGTGTCTGAAGTCTTATGTAACAATTCTCAAGTAAATTAATTGAGAAATTTGAACTGAACATAGTTTATATCAATGATCAAAAATATAAATAGTACAGGATTAAAAATAGTCTCTAAGTAAAATAATAGTAATATGCTTGCTTGTCCTATCAGTTACACAAGGTAAATTGTTCATTGTGTTAGCAAGATTCTTGCTGCATCTCACTGCTCTAACTGCCAGGAACATGGGACTTACTGCTGCCATATCCTTTATAAGTTTAATAATGATTTCTGATATCTGAGTAGGAGTTGAACCCTTCATCCACCAATGACTTTCACCTCGTCGAAGGTAACTGAAAAAACAAAAAAACAACAGCATTCATAAACCAACAAATAGTTCGATAGTTGTTATAAATGAAAAAACTGTTATTTCAGCAAACATTTTTAGAATTAAAACATTTAAAAATAGTTAATCAAAATATTACATCCAATTTTTCCCTCAATCTCAAGAAAGTGCTATTCTGAGTTATGTTCTGTTTCAATTATTTACCAGCTTACACATTATTTTTGCACACATTTTTCTAGAACAGTGATGTTTGAAGCATAGTCTGTGGACCACAGGGGAGTTGTCTAGTGCACATGGAGATAATATGGAACTTGTGACAGAATATAAACTTACTACATGACTAAGTAGACTATTGCTTAGTTAGATCAGCTGACATTTTTTTTCCTCTATCCAGACCACATATATGCAGAAAATGATACTATGATTAACATTCTGGTGTTACATTCTTATTGTCATTGTTGGCTATATAATTTATACTATTCGAGACATCTTTAATTCTTTACGATTCACACAATTCTAGACCATCTTTGTACAGATATCTCTGTAGGCATATATGAAATGAAAGTTTCTGGAGGAAGAATTGATTGGTCAAAGATATTATCAAACTGACATCCAAAAATGCTTCAGCAATTTATAACAGATCAAAATGCCTTTATAATGTTGCCAAAGCATCAGAGATATTTTGCAACTGCTTTAATTCGCATTTCTCTAAGATAAAATATCTTTCATTGTTAAATTCTTTTCTTTGGACTGAGTGGTCTTATCAGTGAACTTTTTATTGCTTGTTTGCTCTTTTACAGGCAGGATACTAATACTATGGCTAATCATTAATTTATTATTATTCAGGTTTAAATATTTTACAAAGATAATTGATTATATTTTAAAACATTTTAATAATATCATTCAATTTTCATTTTTATATAGTTAAATCAGTAATTCTTTTCCTATATTAAATTTTTAGGTTTTACGTTTTTTTTGAGGAAGGATTTATTTCCTAAATTGAAGACTAGAAAAATACTGTATAATTTGTCCTGGAGGGTTTTAAAAGAAATATACATAAAGCTTTAGTTGATGCAAAGTTTACAACTCCCTACCCTGATTCCAGGCAGGGTTATTTTTATTGTGGTAAAAAAATATATAACATGTAACTAAGTTTGACTTTTATATATGTATGATGAGGTAGTAGTCTACAATCTTTGTCAAACATTCTCACTTTATCTATTCAGTTTACTTTCTGTTCTCCACTAAATGAAAATGATACATATGATACTCCTTTTATACATGGCAAATTATTTATTGATAACATTTGGTGAGTAAGAGGACAAAGTGGAATTTGAAATGATGTTTTAATTCTTTGTTACTAAAACAGAAGCAATGACCAACCTGGAGTTAAAAATCATTGGAAGGGTGACTGTTGTAACTCCTTTGCCCACAGTAGTACCAGCTGTTCCTGTGATGGTGGTTCCTTTAGCTTTTAGCTGCACGGTGAGTGCTTTGGCAATGCACCCTAGAAACATGTCCAAAATACCTAGCTTATTCCAGTCTCCTTTCTCAGTTGAATGAATGATATCACTGATATCGGCGGGAGGGAGAGATTTCACTCCTATGATGCTGGCCAGACGATTGGGGGTGACTTCAGGCAAAACTCGTCTTAGTAAGGAGGTTACCTGTTAAGAAAAAAAATCCACTTAAAGATTGATGTTTCATAGTTTTCATATTTTTAATGTGCAAGCTACCATAAAATTTCTGATATTTTTAATAGAAAATATAAGCTATCTTCTATAACTTCAAAATCTATAAAAAGAACAGAAATATCATTTAAATACTATTTTTCATTTTGAGAAGGAAATAAATACATTTTAAATACTTTTTAATTTCTGGAGTGGTAATTACTAACCCAGGGCTGCAAGAAAAAAAAAACTTATCTTTTATTTTCGATCTGTTCTGCATGACATTATATATTTTCATGTTAAGAAATAATCAGTTGCCAGACATATTCTTTATTATAACACATCAATAAAATGGAACATATTTTGTTCTTAATTTCTTCATTGCTTTGATTACAAAGAGTGGAAAATAAAATATAGAATAAAAAACACAGGCCCCCCCCAAATATGAAATAAAACATAGAAATCCACACACTTCAACATGTGTGGTGATTCTCTTTGTCTTGTAAATTTTACTGCTGTTCATTTTTTTTTCATGATGCTGGGGAATCAACACGAGCCTCATGCATGCTAGGCAAGTGCTCCACCACTAAGCTACAAGACCCAACCTCTCTGTTTTGTGATTTCTGTATTTCAAGTAACAAAGAAGCACAAAAGTAAGTGGTATGCTGTCACCTGTCTCTGGACTCTAGGAGAGGCAGTATGAAGCAGGGAAAAGAGATCCTGAAGCAGAGTAAGCTGCTGAGCCAGATACTGCCGACCGACGTTAGAGCCACTCAGTGCTAAAACCATGGAGAGCAGCTCAAAGCAGTAAGCATCAGAGGAGGCGTCTTCATCGTTTGGCTGAGAATTGGCGTTTTCTTTGCTTGATATGGCATGCTCCCATTCCTCACGCACTCTGGTGGCTTCCATGCGTATGGCTTGTACAATGTGAGCACATACCTATGTGAAGACAACACAGAAAAGCTAAAAACACATTTTTGTAAGTCTGATTTACCACTCAACAACAACAACAAAAGGAGAAGAATGTAAGTTCACGCTCCATTTAATATTCTTCCAGTTAATGCTCCATGTCTTTCTCTTAGCTAATTTTAAAAACAAATGCATGTAATCCTGGCATTCGGGAGGATCACTGTGAGTTCGAAGGTGACTAGTGTATACAATAACTTCAAGGCCAGCCTGAGATACATGGCAAGACCTTGTCTTAAAAAATGAAAACAACAATAACTCAGCACCCCCCCCCCCAAAAAGGGGAAAATACATAAAACTAGAGCAAATATGACAAAAATCTGATGACTGTAATCAACTATTATAAGGATAATAGTGTATTCTAATGCCCTTCCTAGTAATTCACCACTTCAAACTATAAAACAAAACAACAAATTGTTACTTTTACGGCATTTATTTATTTATTCATTTATGAGACAGGGTCTCACTGTATAGTTCAGGCTGCCCCAGAACTCACTATGTAGCCCCGGACAGCCTTGAACTTGAGGCAATCCTCCCGTGTCAGCCTCCTGAGTGCTAGAATTACAGGTGTGTGCCATCACGCAGGCCAGCCAGGCCTGGCACTTTTTTCATAGTTTCACATTTCTACTCATAAGATTCTTTAAAACTGATAGTAATTATAATTGGCAGAAGCTTTTCTTTTTATGATTTCTAAGCATCTAAAAGTCAATGAAACACCATTAGATAAGGTACAAGTAAATTTATGTTGTTAATGAAAAAGATTTAATGGTGTTGAAAGGGTAGCAGTTACCTACTATGATCCATGTAGTGTAACTGGCTGTTTGGTACCACTGAAAACTCTAAATGATTGACCCTCACTGTTACAGGGTACTAGAAAATTAATTTTGAGTTGACTTTAGTGCTATTTTTATGTTATTGAGCATTATGTTATGAAAAATCTAGCAATGCCTCCCACCCACTTATATTTAAAAACATTAACATTGGCTTTCTTAGCATTATTATGGTAATTACTCAGCAAGAAAATGAAAATAAAATTTGATACAGCTAAGTATTTGTAATCAAGATAATGCAATCTACCTGCAAATGAGAAATAACAAAGAATAACAAGGTAAGAAAGTTTACATTCATGACAAAATCTTAGAGTGATTTCAGTATAAAAATGTAATTCCTCTCTAAAACAAGTCAGTTCCATTAAACAGGGCTTATAAAAGATCCAGCATAAAAAGTTTCAATAAATTTTAGAAGATATTTTATAGCTTAAAAATAAAAACTCACAAAGACAATGTGATGGCTGTTAACCAACCTGTTTTTGTAAGTTAGTCAATTTACTCCTGCTGAATATGATTCCAACCATATGTTCTTTTAGGTCAGCATCTGATGTTGCCTTCACATAAAGAAAGAAAAAAAAGTAAGCTCTTTAAAGAAAATGTTTATGTGTAATATTTCACATTATTTTGGGGTATAATTACACAGATATATTCCAGATAAATTTATTTTAAATTGAGATGAATAATACTAAGTTGAAGAATAAAGTTTGAAGAAATCTCTCATTAGCCCAAGTGCTATAAAAAGAATTAAATTTCAGAAAAGGTCTCAAATTTATCATCTAATCTTGAAATTTAATAAACTGAAAACAGAAATAAACCAAACCCAGAGCAAACAGATGGAAAGAAATAACAATCATGGGAACCAGTGTCACTAAAACATAATGGAGTAAATTGCATGGCCTGACTTGGATATGATTCTCCCAGGACCCAACCTGTTCTCAGCTCAGCACTGGGATTGCTCTTAGTGAAGGATGTCTCAGAAGAGGTAAGATGCCACACAGACTCTTGAAAGCACCTGCACATCCGAATTACACCTAAACATTCACACAGGATATCCCAAGGACTTTGCCCACCAAGCACAGGACATCCAGAGAACTCTGACCACTGATGCTTCCTAAGATCTTCCTGCCTAATGTCCCTTGCCTTTTTCAAGCCCTACTCCCCACAGGCAGCATTTTCATCTCTGTCTGCTGTTCCTGGGCACAATAAATTCCCCACCATGTTGCCTTTACACAAGCCTGGTGGTCTCAGCTGGGCTCTGTATTCCTCCTTTCTTTACAGAAACAATAAAACAAAAAGCTGATTCCTTGAAAAGATCATATTGATGATTCTTTTCCCATACTATTCAAGAAAATAGAATGAATACACAAATTGCCAAAATGAGGAAAAGAAGATACATCACTACAGATAAGAATATTCTGTGTATTATTTATGCCAATATTCAGCAACTTAGATGAAACAAATTACTTGAAAGACAGAACTACTGATGCTCACTTAAGAATAGGTAAATAAAATAGTTGTAGATGATAGTCATTTCATCTTATTTTCACTTCGTTTTGTGTGTTTTTTTTAAAAAAAGTGAGACTGACTATGTACCATCCCAGTCATCTATGTAAAGTATACAAATTCAGTATTTTTAGCATATTCACAGACATGTACATTGGTCATAATTTGAGAACATTTTCATCACTCCTAAAAGAAGCACTATACTACCTAGTTATCATCCTCAAAACCTATCTTTTTTTTAATTAGAGAAACAAATTACCCATAAGCTAATATCACACACTGATTAAAGCATAGAGCAACACAGCAACTATTCTGCTGAAAAAAATGGAAAATATATGTAAGAATATATTTTTTGCTGAAATTCTCAGCAAAACAGAAATAGAAGCAAACATTCTTAATCCAACTAAGGGTATTCACAAGACAATCTATAGTTAACATCACTCTTATGGTATAAGACTGAATGTTTTAAGACTCACATCCAGGCAGAGATGTTGGCTCCAACCAATTCTACTCAATATATTATTGCAAGGTTTTATAAGTATAATAACACAATAACACAAGATGGTTTTTTTTTCTTAGATACAATGTTCAAATTATACTTGAATTTAATTTTTAAATAAAAAATAGACAATTATTGCATTAAAGACAAAATTTCAAGAACACTACAGAGAGCAGGTTTTTTTTTTTTTTTATTGCGGAACTGGGGATTGAACTCAGGCCCTTGCGCTTGCCAGGAAAGCGCTTGTTCCACTGAGTCATCTCCCCGGCCCCTGAGAGCAGTTATTTTAATAGGAATGTACTGAGTATACGTGTGAATTCACCAATGTTATAGGCAGCTGAATTAGATGGAAATATAGTAGACAGTCAGACAAGGCTAGGCCCTCAGAAGGAGCCAGTAAGGAAGACAAAATGCAGTGCAAATGTAGGAGGGACAGACACTCCTGCTGTGGGTCAAACTTAAGAGAAAAGATCAAATAATTGTTTACCTCCCTAAAAATAAACACCAGGGACTGATGCTCTAAACAGACCTCTATTCACCTTGAGGAGCTAGGAAGAGTCACTAACCCAACCGCCTACACAATGAGTCTTGTTCTATATTCATGCCTACTTGCTACATGATGCACTTCCCCATTTGGTCCTGGATTTAAACAATTTTACCTCAGCAATTGTGCTTGTGATCTTATTGGTTGACCAGTTTTGTCCCACCTTATGCTCCTCTAGTGAGTTCCTGTGTTTTCCACCTTCATGGTTTCACTCTATAAAAAACCTCTAGAAAGATTCTTAGGCAGCCTTCTTGGGCCCCTTTCTGTCCCTCTTTCAGACAGAAACTTTGCTTCCTTCAATACATATATTCTGCTTTTAACCTCCATAGTTCCTAAAATTCATTCTTTGGTTTTAGAGAACACAAACTCATCCTAAGTATCTTTCAGGTTGGGAGTTTCATTCCCCTATATCATTTGGAGGTTTTAAAAGGGAAATAAATTTTTAGAATACAAATAAATACATTGTATACTTTTTCCTCTCCTTCAGGTGATGACAAAAGTGCTTTTTCCTCTTGTTCAGGGGTAGGCTCTGCATCTCCAGAGATGAGCTTTCCAAATACCTGATGAAGTAGGCACATGAGAAAGAAGATGAATTACCACTGTGAATGTTACAGGTCTCATTAGCTGATTCTGCAGGTTTTGTCATGTGCTATTCTATCTATATACCACAATTTTTAAGAGATGTAAAAATGAGCCATATTTATAGCCAGAAACCTCTGGTTTTATAAATATTCTGTTGCACTCTCAAAATACATTAGAGAAGTCTATCCTGTTAGAATGCAGAGGAATTACACTTACTTGAGATGTTATAAGTCTGAATACTCGTAGTGTCTCAGCTTCACAGTTCCTTTGTTGGGCCACGCTAGCTGAAATCTGGCCAGCAATTTTTGTGCTTTCACCGTCTTTCCAACCCAAGACTTTTACTTGTCGAACTCTTAGTGTATTTTCTGGGCCCTTTAATTCAATTTTGATGATGTGATTATCTCCTCCTGGAAGTTCACTTGTTACCCAACCAATGTGCCTGGAATCCAGATCAACCTGGTTGAGTAGAAGAGGAACAGGAGCCTGACACAGCTGAATCACTTGTCACTTTACTATATTTAATAAGTAACACAAATAACAAAAAGCTGGACACAAAGTAAAGGTTATTAGGTTTCTTTTACAGTGTTTAATTTCCATGAGAACAAGTAACATTATTTGTAGGAGCTATAATATAAGAGAAACTGAAGTTAATGCAAATTGAAAACTTCACACTGATGGAATTGAAAATCAACATCCAGTCCTGACCACCATATCTCTTCTAGTTCAGGTTATGAGAATAAAACCACTACCACCAATTTGCATGACTGTCCTTGATGCTGACTGTTGGTAGAAACACTGTATCAGCAATGTGGTCCGCCTTTGTGTATCTACACAGTAAAGCTCTATCAAGAGATGTGTTTTCAGAGTGCTGTTACTTAGTATATTTTATATAAAAATTAAAATACTTAAGTTTATGGTTACTTTTTATTTCATTGACTATTTTTATTCAAATATAAAAATGTTAATACACTTTAAAATAGTTATTGACACTAGTCCAAAAATGAAATTAAAACTGTTTCTTGTTTATTTATTTATGTGGTACAGGGTCTTGCTACACAACTCAGATTTATAGTGATCCTCTTGTCTCAGCCTCACCAGTTCTAGGATTACAGGTGTGCACCACCACTCCTGGTTTTGGTGGCTGGCTCAGCGCGAGGTGGGTACGGCACGCAGTACGGGGGATCAAACCTAGATCCTTGCACTTGCCAGGCACATGCTTAGGCTGCTGAGCTATCTCCCTGGCTCTAATATTCTTCTCACACTGGCTGAAAACCAAGAAATGATATCTGAGGACTAGTACATGATTTATATAAACATTTCAATTTTTGATGTCAAGCTTTACAGGGATCATTAAGTGTGAATACTATGTTGCTAAGTAGGGTATTTTGCTAAATTTTTTAAAAAATCTCATTGAGAAAGAAACAGCAATGAGACAGTTTCAAAACTGAGTAATAGGACAGTTTCAATAATTAATACATTGCACATTGTTGTCTTTGCAGTAGTTATTCATAGTACAAAATGCAGACATGATATCCTGTCCAAACTATTAGTACAAATCTTTCTTCTCATTGAATTGAGAAAGTAGCTGTATATCTATCCTATTTTGCATATGCAGATACAAAATGGTCCTTCATTTGTACCCCCTTTTTTTTGTTTAGTTTTGTCAGAGATGGGTATTCCATTGCCATTTAAATATAGTAGGTGCATGAATTCAGCAAAATAATCCAATATAGTCCAGCAGTCCATAACAGTAGGGGGTTATCCATAGGACTGGCAATGTCAGAAGTTGTTGACTTGAGCCTTTTACAACTCAGCATATTAATATGGCTTTACTTTTCATACCTCGTTATTATACTTTTCTGCTGGATGGTTAAGATCAAGATAAAACAAGACCTATATAACAAGAAATGCAACTTTTGTATCTGCTAAGGTCAGTCAAATCTCCACAGGATTTATCCTGAAACACTGTACTGCACTTTGTAGATCCTTTGTCAGTGTCAGCCATGTGGATGAGTCACAGCCATTTCTCGACCAATTTGTTCTCTGTGAAAGCCTGAGAGAATGATTTCTCTCCATGTGACTCTCCTTAGGCACACTCGACATCATCGATCACTTTCCTCTGTGGCCCCATAATCTCCTTGATCAGAAAATTTGGGACATCACTGAGTTACAGGATATTACAGTACAGGTTCTTTGTGTCCTGAGTCCTCACTGACTTTGAAAGGCTAGGGCCAAAATGTTTACTGACCTTGCAGCCCTTCCTTTTCTCTAATTTTTGGTCTGTAAACTTAAGTCTACATTTTTTTATAATTTGAAAATATGTTATTTGTTAAGTCTAAAATCTCAAGTCATTCTTTCTTCTTCTTCTTTTTTTTTTTGAAAAGGGAAAGGGGCTTTATTATAAAGGAAAAGGGACTTCATTATCTTAGAGGACACAGAGAGAATTTGGGAAGATAAGGAATTCTCTCCATTCTTTCAATATAGCTTGAAACACCATCATCACCATTATCACCACCACCACCACCACCACCACCACCACCACCACCACCACCACCCGTAAACTGGTCACTTTTTGGGAGATAAAGTAACATCACAAGAACAGATTGGACAAAGTTTCATAAAGTATGTAAGGGAGGCATGTCCCACATAAAGCTGTCTTTATTCTACAGTTAGTTTATAAATTGATTTACAACCTGCACACAGCTGCAGTGTTGTAAATGACATATTTTTTTTAGGCTGGAGGGTAACAAACCTTTTACCTACAAAGTATGTTAGGTAAAGTGTTGTGAATCAGATCCATGATAAATTTTAAGGCACCTTGAGTCTTTTTTTTTTGTGGTACTGGGGATTGAACTCAGGACCCTGAGCTTGCCAGGCAGGTGCTTATTCTACTGAGCTATCTCCCCGGCCATACCTTGAGTCTTTGTAGAGAAGTAGGGAATCCTAGACTGTAGGCACAACATAACTGCTCATGACTGCAGATTTAGGGTAGTAATTGTGAGATATCTGCTGGAACTGAGATGGTTGTTTTTGTTACATTTCTTAATATAGACCAGTTGTCAAATTAGTGTTTTCTAACTAAGTGATTTCCTACAGTACTTTGGTAGTATGCCAAAACTAAAGCTCAACAGTGAAGGCAGAAGTTTCTTCCTAGACAGAAAAACATTTAATGATGAAAGTATAATTACCTGCTTTATTCTGCACAAATCTTCTACTGCTTTGCCAGTTAAGAAGGTCATTGAGGTAACTTTATTCTAAAACAAACAATTTAAAATAGTTACTCTGTATTCCTGCTTCAGTACCTACAATGATTGCTTACAAGTTATCAATGCTACATAAACTTTTCTGCCTATTTATAATAGTTCTTTCCTAACTGATGGACCTCACATCATCTAGTCAATTAATTCCTACATCTCTGGTTTTATTCTCATAAACTCTATCTTATGTCACATTGTACCCTTTTGTCATGTGCTTTCTCAGTTTGATATTTGACTTCTTTATCTAAATTCTAGACATTCAAATCTTGCATCTTTATGTGGCCTTTTAAGAACTCTGTTGTCCGTCATATCACACTCTTATTGCTTGATTTTCAGTACTTTTGAAATCAAAAGGAAGGAATGTCACAGTTTCTTATAGGCCTGTAAAATATCTGCCTCACTAGGAAATATTAACACAAAAAAGGTATCAAACAGGAGAAGCTTATTGACATTAAGTTATGAATACGAGTCATGTCCTCTCTAGAGCCACAGAGCTAAGTTTTAAGTAAAGCATGTCAAGAATATACAGTAATTCCTCAGAGAGCTTTGTATGATGAATGCTATAGGTTGATGCAACTCCTGTCAACAAATGCTGTGCAGAAGGCACCTTCGTGGGCAGTCTGGGGAACACAGATGATAAATGAATTTTTTATGATTATTTCCCCTTAGACAGTAGAAAAATGTCAAGTTGATTGTAATCTTTGTTCTGAGGGACAGCATGCCCTGGTGTAAAATGTACCATGAGTCAAAGATAACTTTGTACTAAGCAGCCAGCTAGCCACAAAATGTTTTGAATTATTACACTAGATATTTCTTAAGATAAAACAGTTGAACCAGTTCAGTCTTGAGTCTGAAGAGGAAAGAAGCTTGTAATATATAGCTAAGCAGCCTTTTCTTGTTCAGGAAAAAAGTGAACTTGCATTGAGGGCTAGACTTAGGGTGGCAGTGGACGGCAGGGAGGACTCGGGTTACATGCCACACAGCTATGCTTGGTTTCACATCCAGGTTACCTGAGACCCAACTTACCACTCTGATTCCTCCTGGAAAAAGAAATATACAAATGGATGGGTGTAATTTGGCAACTATGCAAGGAGATTCATTGAAAGTAAATCTGCTAGCAAGTTATCACCACTGTGAGGGAAATAATTCTAAATATCCTCTCCCAAAGAACTGAGGGCAGAAGAATAACAATTTGTCAGTTGTTGCTATTTTCTTAGATCTTGTAAGGACTCTTTTCCTTTGATCTATGCCTTTTATGAAAAAGTGCTTAACTCAGTCAAAGCATGTTTGATAGCCTAGGAATAGGGAGAATATAAACCATTATTATCTAAATTGGTTCAGGAAATTCTTTTCCTCCCTGCATACTGAGGAGTAGGAGTAACAAAGTTAATTATACTATAGGTCCAAGTATATTATGTGCCATCAGATTAATAAAAAAAAGTGAGCACTGATCATTATGCATGCCTAAACTGTACCAATAAAAATCATTTTCCTTTAAAAACATATGAAAAAAAATGAACCTAGTGGAGAAAAGAGTAATTTTTATAGAGAAATTAGCTAAAGAGAATTTCTCTGTTGAGTTTTAGAGATCTTGAGAGAATCAGATAAAGAGAGTGTAAGAGGAATATATCCAGACCAAGGAAATAGCCTAAACAAAGGCATTAAAAAAACCAAAAACCAAAAACCAAAAAACTTCAGGGCTGACCAAATAGCTCAATGGGCCAGGGTTCAATCCCCAGGCCTGCTGAGCCAGCCCTGCCCCCCGGGTGTGCACTGATATGGCAATTGAGACTGGGCGTGGTGGTGCACACCTGTGATCTCAGCTCTTGGGAGGCTGTTAACAGGTGGAGCGCTATGAGTACGATCAAGTAGTGAGACCCTGAACACCTTGTAGACCCTTCCCAAAAAGAAAGAAAAACTGTATTTATTTTGTTCAGCTGTAATCATGGTATATATGTAATCAGACCTCCTTGTAGAATTTATAGCTCATAATGTGCATAATCATATTAATCTGGTTTTATGTATTTATTTACTTATTTTTTTCCATAATTTTATTGATAAACAAATAGCAATGAGACAGTTTCAAATCAAATCGCTAGGACAGTTTCCATAATTAACACACTGCATACATTCTTCTTAGTGGTTAATTGCTGTACAAGATGCGGACTTGAGATCCTATTTACAAACACCATTAGAACAAATCACTCTATTCATTAAGAGAATGTAACTATATATCTATCCTAACCACTTTGAATACACAGATACAAAACGGACATTCATCTGTATACCCTTTTTTTGCTAAGTTCCGTTATTTGAATATTATAGGTGTGTAAACTCAGCAAAATATTCTAAAAGAGTCCAGTAGCCCATAATAGCATTGGGTCTTCTGTTTAACTGGCAACATCAGAAATTGTTGACCTGAGTCCCCCACAGATCAACATAACAGCATGGCTTTCCTTCCTATATTTCATCTTCATACTTTTCTACTGGATGGTTAAGACCAAGGCAAAGCAGGACCTATGCAACAAGAGTTGTAGCTTTTTGGTCTGAGAAGGTCAGTGAAATCCCCTCAGGATTTATCCTGAGATCCTGTACCTCAGATTGTAGAACCTTTGTCAGTGCAGCCATGTGGATGAGTCACGGCCATTGCTTGGCCAATGTGCTCTCTGTGAAAGCCTGAGAGAGTGTTTTCTCTCCATGTGACTCTCCTTAGGCCCACTCTACATCAACGATCACTTTCCTCTTTGGCGCCATAATCTCCTTGATCAGAAAATTTGGGACACTACCGAGTTACATGACGTTACAGTACAAGTTCACATATGTCCTGAGTCTTAATTGACCTTAGACGGTTAGGGCCAAAATGTTGGCTTTCCTTGTAGCCCTCCTTTTTCTCTAATTTTGTTCTGCAGACTTAGGTTGTTAACCATCCAGAAGACAAGCTTATTGTTATTATCAAACAACTTAGGCTATTAAGCTTAACCTCACTATCTCTCTGCATATCAAACATCTTAGGCATAATAAGGAACAGGTATATTTCATCAAGTACTGATATGTTAAACTTTAAGTCCCTACATAATAGTCTGGTTTTAGATGTAACATATGAAGAGTATACAAATGTTGTGTAGTTAGTGGTATGGTTTGTATCGAAAGTGTTCCCCATGGCCTCAAGGGTGCACCAGTGGGGCTTCTGGAAGACGACTGAGCACAGGGCCGAAGTTCTCATCAGTGGGTCTGTGGAATCACAGATGCGCTCAGCAGCATTCTTTGGAAGGTGGGGCCTGGCAGGAAGAAGTGGGTCCTGGGGGTGGCGGGGGTGGTAAATATCTCTTCCCTCGCTCTCTGTTTCCTGGCTACAATGATGCGGGCAGCTTTCCTCTGCCCAGATCCTTCTCATGCTGTTCCTAGTCAGGAGCCAGCCAACCATGGATTAAAGTGTGAACCAAATAAACTTCTTTAAGTTGTCAGTGTTAGGTATTAGTCCAATGATACGAAAGGAGTAAGACAGGGGGCAAAATGCCAAGTAATCTTTTTCTAAACTCAGAAATGAAAATACAGGCTGAGTAATGGCTTGAAAAGAGCTACTGAGTCATAAATTAAGTTTCTTTTCTTACCCCAAGATCTCGAGAATTGTCCACATGAACAGATACATAGCGGGCATTGATTCCTTTAATACAATTGATAGTGATGTTCTTTGTTTTGTTTTTATCTTCATCTCCTGATTCCCAAAAGGTTTCTGTGGAGCCATCTGTCAAACTGCCAATCATAGCCGGTCGGCTTGAAGTTTTTATGTCAACAATGCTGGTTAAGTCCTTTAAGCACATAACTATGCATAACTCCTATTAGAAACAAGTGTAAGTATTCAGAATATCCCCAAAGAAGTCTTTATGATGAGATAACAGATCTGTGATTAAGAATTATCTATGGGGGGCCAGGGAGATGGTTCACTAGAGTAAGTGTTGCCTGGCAAGCGCAAGGGACTGAGTTCAAATCCCCAGTTCCGCAAAAAAAAAAAAAAAAAAAAAAGGTTTGACTTTGGCTGGGGAGATAGCTCAGTGGAATAAATGCTTCCCAAGGGCCTAGTTCAATCCCTGGTTCAGCAAAAAAAAAAAACTATGATAACGTATAATCTCTTTTATAACACACTGTTGACTACCATTAGAACAAGAGAACGATAACTATTAAATGACTGACCTGACTCATTGCTTCAAAGCCAGACTGAATACTGATGCTGAAACTCTCTTCACTATCTCCATCATCTGATTTTGACAAAATGTTGTTAATATGATGAAAGACATTGCTTTGATGGAGGAACTGATGATCAGATTGCTTGAATTTGAGGCTCCAGCATCTAAAAAGACAACATATAAGCCATATGTGAAATATTTCCCAGAAATACCTAAGGAATTGCTACAGTAGCTACTCTATTTTGTAGCTAATATTACAAGAAAATGTGGCCTAGTAAGATTATTATCTTAAAATGTAAAGATTAAAATCATTATTAGCTTTGTTTTTAGAAATAACAGTAATTTCTTTAGAACAAGCTACATTCTAAGGAAAGTTCACCCATTTTAAGTTCTTCAAGATAAGAAGATCAAAGTTAAGAAGTAAAAACAGTAATGATTGTGTAGATAAATGTTACAGTAACTATGACAACTTCTCAAATTTATCTATGTGTTAATTTCATATTAATTCATTAGAACATAATGCATTTTGCGCACAATGACAACGACAAAAAAACCCTCTATTCTACTGGTCGTATTAGGGATATAAACCCCCAATCATTCAATAAATTTATTTGCTATATAACTCAATGGAAGATTTAGGTAAATTCTAGTGTGTAGATTTGCTAATAATCATAATCTAAAAGTAATGCCAAATTCTGAACAGATTCCACTTTAAAGCTATGTGCTATTCCTCAGGGTAGTTTTAAAATTGTCTATATGTAACTGGGGTCCGTTTTTATTTTTTAAAAACAATTCAGACCTTTTCTTTGTTTTCATGTATAAGAAATGTGTAGTTTTAGAATCAAGGAGCAAAAAGAGTGGAATCAAAAAACTGGACCACAACCCTTACATTACTACAGTTGGGCTCTTCCTCATTTTGTTCTTGGGGTCACTGCCAAGATCCTCAAGTCAACAGTCCCTTCAACTTGAGTACAAGAAATGTCTCAAGCATTGACAGTGATTATTCAGAATGCACAATAGCCAAAGTTCAGACAGATGAACTACAAAAATTAAAAAGAAAGGGGGAGGGGCTTGCTTATTATATCGATTGGACAGAAAATGAAGAGAACACTCGGTGGAAACTCTGCCCCTCTGTCCTAAATGACTCGGGGGCCATGGGGATGTGGCAGAGTCGGGCCTGACACTGCTCATCTCCCATAGGCATGTGAGGCACAGGGATACCTTGCTGTCTTCCTACAGCAGGACTGGAATACTGCAAATTTTCTGGATAAGATCTCAGAGCTTCTGATCTTTTGAGAGCTACTGTGCTCCTTGCTAAAGACAAGGCAGCTGAGTTAGAACTGTGCCAGAGATTCTAATGCCCAAGAGGATCAGAGGGTAAAACATTCTGAGGAATCATAGACTACAACCCTTTGGCAAGAAGAACCCAGAAGATAAAGTTTCTTCCAATGGCTGGACCCACAAGACTTGTTTTCCCCAGAAGCAGGTGCCAGGATTAACTTAATTTGCTTTCAGCTAAGATTTTGAGCTGGTGATATGCACAAAGCCAGGGAACAAGTCTCTTCTACTCTGAAGACAGTTTCCAATGCCTTGAGATGCTTTTAGTGTACTGCAAAGATGACCTCAATGTATTGTAAAAGCTTTTGTTTTGGTTAATTTTTGGTATATGACCCAAGTACAGAGTAACTAGGATCCATTTTTCTGAAGATTCTTTTAAAAGTCAAAATTCTAGTTTTTCCTAAGGTTTAATTTGCTTTTCTCTTTTTTATGACTTTGAGATTTGAGGAGGAGAGAAAGAAAAGTAAGCCAGATTGTAGGATTATCACTTATAGCATCAAGAAGAATATTTATCCATGCTTTACTGAGGGCAAAAAGTAAAAGGAAGGCTAATTCTACATAAGGCCAGGAAGGAAGGAGGCAGGCATCATTTACATAATGTAGGGATTTTCTGTGACTGTTTAAAGAAGTTTGTCAAGCATTTAGCACTTGAATACTCCATAAAATATCTTTGCTAACAGGACCTACAATACTTAGATACAAAATTACCTTAGCGCCATTTGCTGCAATGAGCTGCCACTGGGGAGAGACATCATAAGATCAGAGATTGTCTGAAGTAAACGGTGAAATGTATGTGGTAAAGGATGAGCAGCTTCGCCTGCAATCACTATATCTGAGAGTGGATGTTCACACACTCTTGTATCTTTTTCCTAAAATAGAAATTGAAAGCAAATTTATTAGTTTGTATGCTGCAGAGCTTTCTTCATGAAAGAATATTCTGTATACTTATACCATATCCAGTACACATGTAACATTGTTGAACTATACTTCTATTTCTAGGAAAAAGGGTTACTCACAAATAAAATCAACAAAAATGAAATGAATACAATGGATATGTATTCTAGTATACTCACAAATCTATTAGAATAAATCTGTATGTCTACACATATATACACAGTTGTGTACATACAAAGCATGTGAGTGTATGTATAGTGTATGCATATAATTCTGTATAAAAAATACCATATGTGTAGCAGTTGGGGTTAGCACTTGTTCACATGACATCTGTATATGTATTAGATAAAAATCTTCCTTTAGTCACATGGATCACAGTTTAGAAAAACAGGTACTGGATTTTGTTCCATATTCAAATCCCTAGTCAGATGGCTCTTTTAATAATGTTACCTCTGGAAGAACATTTATATTGGAAAACTATTACAGTACTTTAAATTCTCAAAGGACATTTCTTAATATCAAGAAACTCATCCTTACAAGGAATGTAATTATTACATAATGTAAAAATAAAAAATTAAAAGTAAAAAAAAACCTTATCAAAATCATCTATAGTAAAACTGGTTCAAAAAGGAGCCTCAAAGAGTACTCAGTAACGTAGATACATTTTAAAGCCAGGGTTGCAGGAAGCACAAAACTACAGGAGCTAAAGAGGCTGCACCTGAACCTGAGTCAAGGGGGAGAATGGAGAGCAAACATGTGATGAAGGAGGTGATGGGGCCAGAACAGGGTGCAGGCTGAGCTGGCGTAGCTTTCCTCCTCGCTCAAGCCAACTGTTCCTGCTTTGTGTGATCAGATAACTAAGAGAGGGAGTTCATGGGTCCTTCTAAGGCAGAAAATAAAAGCAAGCTTATTATCTAATGGGGGTAAAATGTCACTTAAAAAAAAAAAACGTAACTTTAAAATACTGTAGGTAAAAATGTCTAAAAGCAATAGCAATTGTTTTTTCTATTTCAATAGGTCAGCACTTTCTAAGATTTCTTTGCCAAAAACTGTGGTCGTTTAGGAAAAATAAATACCATTCAAT